CAGGTGGATCTGTGAGTTGGAGGCCAGCCTGGTCTACAGAGCGAGTTCCAGGACAGCCAAGGCTATACAGAGAAACCCTGTCTCAAAAAAACAAACAAACAAACAAACAAAAACACACAATAAATAATGAAAAGAGTATGCAAAACTTTTAGCCTCTATTTGCAATATAGAAAATACATGTCAGTTCTAAACCAAAATAACTCCACTGACTTACAACAAACAAATGATAGGAAGAATTAGAAGATACACGGTGGCTGCTTTTGGTGATCAGCTACAACAAACCAATGGCCGTTAGTTATTTGGGAAAGAGCAAGTGGGTCTTGATTTGTAGATAAGGGATGTCTACGGTAGTTAAGAGAATTTCAAACTCTGCAAAAGCTTCTCAGTCATATACAGAAGCAGTTCTTTGAGACCAAGAAAACCAGAAATGGTGTCAGCACCACAGCAAGCCCAGGGTCCACTCTTCTGCTTTCCTGCCTTGTGCCAATGCAGACTTGAGTATTGTGCACAGCATTTTGTGGTTATAAAAATGGGCCTTAAGGAAGGGTTTCTGTAATCTTAAGCTTTAAAATTTTATTAAGTAAGATAAAAGTTATAACCAAACATGGTGCGCCTAAACAAGACCTGAACAATGACAACATTGATAGATACGCTAACTTGGAAGGGGAAAAATCTCATAGGGTCTCACCCCTAGACAGAGAACTACAGCTAACTACTGACCATTGTGAGAGGGAGAATTAGCCTCTCCCAGGGATAAACCCCCTAATTAATTATCTAATACAAAGTAGTCAGCCCTGAAATCATGTACACATGGAGTCGACAGGTTGTATTTATTATCTATCTCTATCTCTATCTCTCTATCTATCTATCTCTCTATCTATCTATCTATCTATCTATCTATCTATCTATCTATCTATCTATCACATATCTATCTACCTATCTATCCATCTATCTATCTATGTAACAATAAAGAAAAAGAGGCCATCAATTTGAGAAGGAGTAAATCAAGGAGACATTGGAAAAGTTGGACAGAGGAAAGGGAAAAGGGAAGTAATTATATTTAATTTATTTTTTTTTAAAACAAGGTTTCTCTGTGTAGCTTTGGCTATCACTATGTATAACAGGAACTCACTTTGTATAACAGGCTGGCCTCAAACTCACAGAGATTCACTTGCCTCTGCCTCCTGAGTGCTGGGATTAAAGGTGTGCACCCCCCCACCCCCCCACCCCACCCAGCTTTAATTAAAAACTTTTAATAAAAATAAAACTTTTAAAAGGTTATAGCCAAGGACTGGAGGGAGGGATTGTTGGGAAGGGTCAGTGGCCCTGAACTCACACCTGTAAACAGCCTCAGAAGTGGACTTTGAGTTGTTATTTCCAGTGAGGTTAGTAGACATTCACAGGGATAGTTCACCAAGGCTGGAGAGGTGAGGTCCCCTAAGACTTCTAGCTGTACCTTATTTCTTCCACATGTAGAGTGGACCACAGTTCCTTCTGAAAAACATTTGTATATATAACAATTATTACTTGGTTAAAGATTATATTTGAAGGGGACTGAAGAGATGGCTCAGTGACTAAAAGCACTGGCTGCTCTTCCAGAGGTCCCAGGTTCAATTCCCAGCACCCAGATGGTAGCTCACAACCATCTGTAACTCCAGTTCCAGATTACCTGACTCCATATATTCAGGCAAAACACACACATAATGTAAAATGTGTGTAAAAATAAGGAAATAGCCGGGCGGTGGTGGCACATGCCTGTAATCCCAGCACTTGGGAGGCAGAGGCAGGTGGATCTCTGTGAGTTCGAGGCCAGCCTGGTCTACAGAGGTAGTCTAGGACAGGCTCCAAAGCTACAGAGAAACCCTATCTTGAAAAAAAAACAAAAACAAAAATAAATAAGGAAATATTTAAAAAAAAATTTTTTTTTTTTGAGGAGATAAGAGGTTGAGGCAGAGTCTACATAGCCCTGGCTGTCCTGGAACTTACTTTGTAGACTCAGCTGCTCTTGAACCCACAGAGATCTGCCTGCCTTTGCCTTCTGAGTGCTGGGTTTAAAGGTGTGTGCCACCACGCCTGAACAACTTTTTAAAAAAAGATTTACTTTTTAACTTTGTGTAGGTATGTATGCCTGCACGTGGGCACGGGCGTGTTGAGTGCAAGCACCAGAGGAGGCCAGAGGTGTCCGATCCACTGGAGCTGCATTACAGAGACTGAGCTCCTTGAACTCATTTTTCCAGACCCTCAAATAACACAGCTTCTTTTTTTTTTTTTTTAATGGACTTTACTTTTTTATTCATTTTACATATCAACCACAGATGCCCCTCTCATCCCTCCTGCTCTCCTCCCAACCCCCTCATCCCCTCCTCCAAAAGGGTAAGTCCTCCCATGGGGGGACAGCAAAGCCTGGTACATTCAGTTGAGGCAGGACCAAGGCCCTCCCCGCTGCACCAAGGGTGAGCAAGGTGTCTGACCATAGGTAATGGGATCCAGAAAAAGACAGCTCATGCGCCAGGGATAGATCCTGATCACACTGCCAGGGGCCCCCAAACAAACCCAGCTGCACAACTGTCTCCTGTATAGAGGGCCTAGTCCGGTCCCATGCAGGTTCCACAGCTGTCGGTCTAAAGTCCATGAGTTCCTACTAACTTGGTTCAGTTGTCTCTGTAGGTTTCCCCATCATGATATTGACCTCCCCTTGCTCATGTAGTCCCTCTTCCCTCCCTTCACCTGGACTCCCAGAGCTCGGCCTAGTGCTTGACTGTGGATCTCTGCATCTGCTTCCATCAGTTGCTGGATGAAGGCTCTATGATGACAGAGTATTCACCAGTCTGATTACCAGGGTAGGCCAGTTATTGCTAGCAACTGTTGCTAGTAGTCTAATCTGGGGTTGTCTGTGGATCCCTGGGAACTTCCCTAGCACCAGGTTTCTCCCTTACCCCATAATGTCTCCCTCTATCAATTGCTCTCCCACTCCGTCCCTCCCCCAGCTCCACCATCTCGTTCCCTCATGTTCTCATTCCCCTATCCCCTTCCCCTTATTGCCCCCCCCATCCCCAGTTTACTCATGGAGATCTCTGTTTCCCCTTCCCAAGGTGATCCATGCGTCCCTCCTAGGGTCCTCTGTAGAGGGAAGTTTCTCTAGGCCATACAGTTTGTAATTAATATAAGCCTCTGAGTGATTATTTTATAAGTGGCTGTGGAACCTGGAGTGGGAGAGATTTGTCCCAACTTCTGGGCGAGGCAGGCCCTCGGCCCTGGGCTAGCTGGAGAAACTTCCCTCTACAGTCCTCCCTGTTTCCTAGCTTCTCTGGAACTATGGGTTGTAGTCTCATTATCCTTGTTTTTTTTTTTTT